ATTCCACTCTAAAAAGGATACTCATACCTCTGCTGCCTCCTCATCAGTCATTCCCGCATGTTGAGGGAATTTCGTCACCACAGCGCCAGGGCTAAAGACAAAAATCAGCCTTCTCCTGCTAATATCGACTGAGCCAAAAATAAACAATTTTACCTAACGCTATTTACACGAACTCCTTCAGCAATAAGCTCTACTGCAAGGCCACGAGTTAACTGATCCAATGCAGCCTTTGCCATTGCGTAGTAAACATACCTTGGCGCCTAAATGGATTATTATAGGTTCAAACAGGAAACGAATACTCTGAAAAAGGAAAAAAATACTTACTCCTTTTGGTTGGCCAGCAATACTGGAGATATTTACAACCTCTCCTTTGGTTTTGGCTAAGTGTGGGCGAGCTAATTGAACCATGTGGACTACGCTAAATTTGGCTCTAGTATAATTTTTTTGGGCTAAATAAAAGAATGCTACTACTTCACCTATAAACATTCAATTCCATTGTCTTCTTCAATATATCAAGATTAGCCGAAATACCACCTTGGCCTTTTTCATCGTTAATTCCTCCACCAGCATTGTTAACCTAGGCCGAAATTCTACGAAGTCCACGAGTTTTCCAAATGAAAAAACAAAAATCAAAGTAAACAAATCCAAACACACCAAAATGTCAATTTGTCCCCATTTCTCAACCGTGCTATTGACAATTTGTTCCCTTCCCATTGCATCGGTAATGTCGGCATTCACAACATTGATGTTGTCATCCTTTCCTCCAGCACTGATGATGGATTGTTTTGTAGCCTGCAAACAACAAATAGTAAATGGATATAATTTTTTTAGTTTTGGTAATTTTTGGAAGTTCTAAGGCGACGTGAAGTAATTGGTATTAAAATTAACAAAATGAATTTGTGTTCGATTATAATGTGAGTCACACTTCCCCCTCAATGACCAGCGCTGCCACGAACACTGGAAGAATTTTCCATTAATTTCCTATTACACCACTTGTTGAGAAAAAAGATAAACCCAGGCCAACATTGAACGTTAAATTTGGAAAAAGTTGGTCCGCTGACGTGAATATGAGCTATGAGCGAAGTTTTTAACTATCGCTTCATCTTTATTGTGATATCTGTTTCGGCTTTCCAGTCCTTATGCTTATCCTTGGCCAATATCGAGTTGGCTACCCTCTTACAAAACAAGAAAATTATTTATGCACTAGTTGTTGAGTACAAAATATGGCTTAATCAATTTTTAGGAAAAAATTGCTTTCTGAAACAACATTGAACGTTCAAAAAATTGTGAGTTTTTCTCCTCTTGAGAGTAGCCGTTTGTGATTTTATTCGATAATTTTAAATTCAAGCTGAATGTTAGACCAACACAAAAACTTAATCATATTCGGA